CCCATTACCCTGAAGCCTCAACCAGACACCCCTAAAAGTGGGGGCCAAGGTAGTTTAAGGTACAGGGCTGGACACTGAGGAGAAGGATGTGAAGGTCAGGAGCAAGAGTTGGGGGAGGACGGAGACAGGACCCCAATAGAGAGAGTGTCACGTTCCAGGACCCCCCACATTGGCCACAGGCCGCGACTCACCCTTCACTGACATCACCCACCACATCTCTGGCTGCTGAGCTGTGAGCCCACTTCAGAGCTGAGAACCAGACACCCTGGGCAGGGCCAGGGAACAAGTGAGGAACCACATGGTCAAGGCCTGGGGCTTATGGAGAGAACTTCTTATGGGCTGGAGCACAGCAGCACCAGGCCACAGGTCCTGGGAAGGGCATCCACTTCTCCTTGGGATCTCTAGCTCTTCTCAGAGGTTCAGAGCAAGCGCTTCACAATAGGTGAAGGCAGGAAGGAAGGATGGGGACAGGAAAGGGAACAAGAGACCGGGAGGGAAGAGGGAGGCGAAGGGAAGGAGGGCAAAATGCAGAGGCAGGGAAGTGGACCTAGCACTCAGGGGGAAGCCGGCGATGGTCTGGGGAGGCTTGGACTGGAGAAAAATCAGAAAAATGGAAATAAATGGGAGATGGTGAGAGGGAGAGGGTGTTGATAACACGAAAATGTCACCGAACACAGTTAGCAGCATAGTTCTTAGTTGACTTGTAGAAATCTTATAAAATTGGCGATTGGTATGGGAAATGGTGTCCCTGGCACTCAGTGTTTTCATTTCCATCTTCATGGAGCTCTCTAGGTGTGCCTGGAGTAAGGATAGGCCTGGGGATCCAAGGCCTCTTACTACCAGCACTGTCAGGGCCTCCGGCAGCCAAGGGGTGGGAGAGTGCATGCCTAGCTCTGTACATGGCAGGCTCTCAGGAAATGCAGCTGTATTGATGATGGATGAAGGGACACATGTTTGAACCACATGGGAGCAACTTGTGTCCCACCCCCAAGCCCAGCAGCCCATGGGAGTGCTTTCCTCACCCACTACAGGAGTTCACAGAGACCTTAAAGGTGGGCTGGAAGCCAAGTACCCTGGTGGCGCAGCCACCACCTCCCTCCAAGCAGCCTTCGTTCACCCTATGTAAGTGATCTTTACTTATACACTCTTACTTGCCAAGAGTAGTAAAATTATTTAGCAATTTTATACTAGAAGATCAAGAAAAATATTGAGCTAGACTTGAACCCAGGGCTACTTAGAAGACCAAGTATAAGTCTGCTCTAGCACAGAAATTGAAGCCAGGTCATCATGCCAGGCATCCCGTGGTCTCCAGCTGGTCCCGCATGCCAGCTTGGCCACCTGGCCAGCGGCTGCTGGCAGCTCAGACACGCCATGTGGGATCATGCCTCATTGCCCCCAGTAAAGTCATAAAGTCTCCCCATGGTGACTGTGGAAAGACAATTCCTTTTTGACCTTTAGGGGGACATACTCAAGAGAGGAATAGGGGGCTTACATCTGGAAAAACAACAGAAAAGCACAAGAATCTAAAAAAAAAAAGCAAAAATGTATATCTGCTATTGGGGCTGACCTCCCAAGTCTTGCTTTGTTTGCCAACAGCCTTGCTTTCCCTCTGGAAAATTCACTTTCTACTTTTTTTCAAGTGGCTCCTCATGAGCCTCAAGAGCAATACACATTGTGCTATGGAGGCTAATGGCTTAATAAAATGTATAACACAGAGAATTATTGCCTTTAAAAATAAAATAAATCTCAGATCATTTTGTCCTGTCATCTTACCAGGGAAGGAACAAGGAGACCTCAGCTCCTTGTGTGGGCAAGGCCGGATGTGGACTAGGATCGCCTGAACCCACAAGCTTTTCCTGCTGTCATTTCCGGATTCATTTCATCTTCTCCAATAGGTCTTTTGTCAGTGTCCATTTTTACAGCAATAATCAAATGCAAAACATGTTTAAGTGAAAAACAAGTATGCATGGGTGTCAAGGCTCTGGGATGACACTTAAAATCCTGCAAACAGCAGGCATCTATCTTGTTTGGTGAGAAATGCAAGGTGAAGAAGAGTCCCTAAGTGGACTGCGGTCAGAGGGTGCATTACCACCCTGGCCGTGGAGCCTGCTGAAGCAGTGAAAAGCCCGGTTCTTCCAGGTCATTCAGTTCCATGGGGGCTGCAATAGCATATTAATAAAAGGAGCAGGAGACAATACCAACACATGGTGAGCCAAACATAGCCTCTTTCAAACTGCTGTGTGTGTTAATGTATCTTACCCAATATTTACACCCCAGAAGGACAAGGTGATTAAGAATACACCAGCAGGCTCAGCGCCTATAGCTCAACCGGCTAGGGTGCCAGCCACGTACACCTAAGGTGGTGGGTTCGAATCCCCAGCCCGGACCCCCCAAACAACAATGACGGCTGCAACCAAAAAATAGCCGGGCGTTGTGGCGGGCGCCTGTGGTCCCAGCTACTTGGGAGGCGGAGGCAGGAGACTCGCTTGAGCCCAGGAGTTGGAGGTTGCTGTGAGCTGTAATGCCATGGCACTCTACCCAGGGGGACAGCTTGAGGCTCTGTCTCAAAAAAAAAAAAAAGAAAAAGAAAAAGAAATACACCAGCATGTGCCTATGGTCAGTTACAGGTGCTTTTATTTTTTCTTTAACGTTTTTGTATTTTACAAGTTCTCTGTAACAAATGCCTATAACTTATAAATATAAAAAGTTACCTTATGAAAATAGCCTATCTTTCCAAGATAACCCCACGAGCGCTCTAGTACCTGGAAGCGCATGGCAATAGGTGTTGGCCTTGGAACTGCCTAGGTCCAAACTCCACTAGTTTGAAGTTCGGTGGTCTTGTGCAAATGCTTTCATTTGTTTTCAAATGCTATTGTCATTAACATTCACTCAGCACTTTCTAGATGCAGGACATTGGACTCAACAGTCTGCATGGGTCCCTCAACACACATATACTAATAATTAGCATATGGGCAGGGCATGCATATATGTTTTATCAGGTAGGACAGTCAGAAATGTCAAGTGCCATGGTGTTTTCATAACCACTGCCCTCTGGGTTAGTTCATTTTAATAACATGAAACATCCATTCATCAAAAAAAGTTTTTTTGCACAAACTTTAGGCTTGGCACTGGGTCTGAGCATGCATTTTTCTTCCTTGCAAATTCTCCTAGCCCCCGGGGCTCCAGCGAGTGGCCTCACAGCAAGCTCTAATCAGAAAAAGGCAAAGGCTGCCAACTTAATGTTCTACAGGGGTCGCCTGGCCAGCAGGAGGGTCTGCCCGCCTGCTCTGTGCAATGTTCTGCTGAATTTATTCATTTAAGGGTACATTTTAAAGTAATTATTCTCCCTTTGTGTTTACAATAGCATGTTGTGGCAAAGGGCCATTTTGCCAGAACACAGACTGGTACAGCTAGGCCTACCCCACAAAACTGCTCTGTAGCAAGAAAAACCTCAAGATTTTGAGCAGCTAATAGGTGAAACATTAATGAAACTTGGGCACAAACACAGCTGAGTTATTTCACTGAGCTTCTGTCTCATCAAGGGGTAGATGTTTTTAAGAGCTGATAAATGGGAAACAGGATGCTTTCATTACAAGAAGAGTAATTAAGCTCTTAAAGTTTTCCTGTTGTCTTGTGAATGCTTCCACAATTTGGAGACAATTTAAGTGGCACTCAACAAAGTAAATCAGCCACCCCCAAGGGCTGCTGATAAATCAGCAGAATGTCTTTCTTAGAAAAAACAGTACACTATCCCTCCTCTGCCCAGAAGGCTCTTGGCCTGCGGCAGCCTGGCTTACTGCACAAGAGCCCACATGTATGTCCCCCAACAAAAGAAGAAGCCACAATTAGGCACTGGGAGTGAAATCAAGATATGGTGGCCTAATAAAAAAGATTGATTCCCGTTGGGACATTTTTATCTAGACCCTTCTTTTTTTTTTTTTTTTGAGACAGAGCCTCAAGCTGTCCCCCTGGGTAGAGTGCCGTGGCGTTACAGCTCACAGCAACCTCCAACTCCTGGGCTCAAGCGAGTCTCCTGCCTCCGCCTCCCAAGTAGCTGGGACCACAGGCGCCCGCCACAACGCCCGGCTATTTTTTGGTTGCAGCCGTCATTGTTGTTTGGCGGGTCCGGGCTGGGGATTTGAACCCGCCACCTTAGGTGTACGTGGCTGGCGCCTTAACCGGTTGAGCTATAGGCGCCGAGCCTCTAGACCCTTCTTAAAGAAACTCATAGCTTAAAAGATTTAAAATTGTTTCCTTCCGTAAGTCTTTAAATGGGATGTGAATAGCAGCAGTCTTTGTAACGCCAATGTGGGCAGAGAACACTCAAAATAGTAGATAGCAGATGCCAGGCCCCCTGGGAATTGCTCACGCCTATTTATACAGATGCTGCCTTCCAGTTTTTGCTCAGATCTTCCAAGTTCTATCACAGGCATGACAGAATGATGACTCATACTCAAATGCAGTCATCAGTGTCATTTTTGATATTAATACCTTTGTAACATTACTTTGTATCAGAGCACTTAAGAGGAAAAAGTTCCTGAAAGAACAGCCTGCCATCATTCCTTAGGGACCACAAAGGGCAGGGCTTGCAGAAGGCAATGCTCATTGTGCAGGGCTGCTGCAGGCCTTCTGCAAGCTGTTCAGATAAGCAGCTGTCAGAGGAGGGGAGGAGGCTGGGGCAGAGGAGGGGGGAGGGGAGGCAGAGGTCACTGCTATCAAGGTTGGAGGACAAGCCTCTAGCTGCAGCACAGAAGTCTTATCTCAAGTATGCAAGTATGAAATCCTCCTAAAAAGAGAGAAACAAGAGCTGGGCAGCAAGTTCTACTCTGTCACTGGCCAGCGTGCCCTCCCCCTCTACTAGGGCCAAGGAGCCTGTAATTCCTGCCCAGCAGGAAGAGGGAACAGGTGCCATCAGTCCCATGGAGTTCCAGCAAATCTGAAACCCTACTCACCACCTCCCCTGAAACAAGGATCCCCTACCCTTAATAAAGAGCATTAAGTTTGTTTCAAAAAGTTTATTGTAAAATTCAAAGCTTCAACAGCAGCATCCTTGAGAAAAACGAAGCATTGCCTGGATCCGTTTTGAAAAAGCAGCGCAGTCTGCTAAGTCCGTCGCGGCTCCTGCAACTGTACCAAGTCCAGACCGCCGCGCCTTTCCCCTCCTTCCTGCCGTGCGCAGGCTGCTGAGTCATGCCTGCCCGGCCAGTCTGTGCTTCCCGGCCCTGCGGCCAATGTCCCCGCCTCGGCCTTCCTGGGCGAGCAGCCGCTCCGGACGCTTGCAGAGTCCAGCTCGGATCAGCCTGTTCCTGTCGCCGCCGGGCCCCCTCCTTGGGAGGACGCGCCTCCTCGCTCTCCAGGCACCCCCTCGCCTGCCAGTCTCCACGCCGCACTTGGGCGCCCTCCGAGGGCCCCTCCACAGAGCCAGCCGCGCACTAGGCGTCCCGGGGCGTTACCATGTCGATCAGACCAAGGTCCCCTGTGGGTGGTCACTCGGGGAGGGTGATGTTGGGCACCCAGTCGTTGACGCTGCGGCTCTCCTCACAAAACAGGCTGAGCTTCTCCAAGGCTGGGTCCTTCCAGGTGTCCTCATTGGGGTTCTGAGTGAGCGGAAAGAGCAGGGATCAGTTTGGCTGGCTGCGGGCCGGCCGAGGAGGGAAGTAGAGACCGGGCAGGAGATGCCACTCACCGAAATGAGGATGCAGTGCAGGTCGCCCGGCGCGCCGGCCTCCTCGCCTGCACCCACGATAGCCGCCAGCCGCTGCACATCGCCCACACGCACGATGTCGATGTCGTTCTCGCAACAGAACGCCTGGATCAGGGTGAAGTGGATCTGCAGCGCTATATCACCCTCGTCCTCCTCGTCTGCGGCCAGCACGCAGAAGGTCACGTTGTCAGGGTCCCTGGGGAGGAGGGAGCGAGCCAAGGTCAGAACTAGCGACTCGAGGTCTCCCGTCATCACCGCCTGGATTTTCAGTCCTTCTCCCTCCGCCCCAATCGCCCAGGCCGCGTCCATACTCACACGTTCAGGACTTTGGCTGACTCGTAAACGCCGGCAGTGAGGCAGCCCTGGCGCTGCGCTGACAGTAGCAGTTCATGAAGCGCCTTCCCGGCACCCTGCATCCTGCGAACAAGCCAGCGTCATAAGTCGGAGCCAGCCGGGAGGTGCGGTGGAGACCCCAGCCCCAGCCACAGGGACGCACCCCGGCTCCCCAACTCCAACCCGCACCCCGGCTCCAGAACAGCGTCCGCAGTGCTGGCTCCCCAACCCTGACCCGGTGCCCGCAACCCCACGCTCGGCTCGCACCCTGGGAACTCCTACCCTAGTGGACCCCGAAAGCCGCCGCCGGACTAATCACACTCTCCGAACCATCAGACCCACCTGGCAGTGCTTTCCGGAACGGAATCCTGGCTGCGGACTTCCTCCAGGGTCATGGTGCGGTAGGAGAAGAACACGCTATCCACAACCGGAGAGGGTAGGAGTGGAGCGTACACGAGCGCACACACTGATGACAGCGAAAACGGCGCGCCCACCACCTGCGAGTACGCCCGGGTGCCGCTGTGAGTCCTTATATAGGCCGGCGGGCACGGCGCCGCCAGCTGGCGCGAGGCTGCGAGCCCATTGGCCAGCACCCGCTTTCTGATGCAAATGAGACGGGGAGCCGGAGGCTCGTGCCAGAAGGCCACGTGGGGAGGGGTGAGGGGGATGACAATGCCCTCAAATCTGCTGCTTTTGTCGGGATGTTACCAGGCAGACTGGAGCCTGTAGATTTCATCAAGCCTTTCTCTTTTTTTTGAAGTCCTTAAAAGGAAAAAGTAAAAAAAAAAAAAAAAAATAGAAAAGAAAGAAAACTCGTTTTCTATTATGATACTACTGCAATTTGCGAAATGCACCTTTGGAAGATCTGAAAAAATTGTTTTTTCATTTATTTATATTTCTACCTTTCTATTTTTTATTTAATTCTATTTTAAAGTTTATGAGACTATTGCTTTGAAGCCGGAAATTAAGATAAAAATAAGCAGCCTTACTTTGGGGCTTGCAAAAGGCAAGGGTCATAGCCTCTGCATGACATTAGCCGCTTGGAGCGGACTGGTGATGCCTGCGGTACATACTCAATGCCCTTCCAGTCGGCTCTGGAAGGTCCTACCCCACCTCCCTGCTTGTGGCCTAGCTCGGTGGGGAGCTGGGTGGGGGGAGGTGAGCAGATTGCCGCCGGCGCACGCGGCTCGTTTGCATTTCTATGGAGGGTGCACAATAGCGGAGGTCTGGCGTGTGGCGGTTTGCGTTGGGGACAATCAAGTCTTTCTCTTCATAGCAACACTGTCCACCTGCCGCTGGAAGGGGTGGGTAGCGCAGGGCCGTGCGTGGGGGTCGCCAGGCTGCCTGGCACGTGGGGTCGGGATGGCGTACAGTTCCCCTGGCCTGGGGGCGCGCCCCTGTACTGGCCCTGCCACATAATTCTGTGTCACGCATGCGGAGCAACCGCTCCAGTTGAGAAGGAAGCTAAACTGCTGCACAGTATATGCGGCCTAGTGCCTGCCCTCCGCGCCTGCGGCCGGGACCCCGCGCCTGCAACCCCCGGAGCTTGGGGTATGCGGGTGGTGAATCCCTTTACGGGGGCGCCATCTACAGGCCAATTGGAAAGAACCTGGCCCCCTCTTTCCCAACCCCCACCTCCCCATACACACCCCCTTCTGTTGGCCTCTGGTGGGGAGCCCGGAGTGCGGGGCGCCGGGCAGGTCACGGAGCGGCCGGACCCCCTGAGGCCTGGCTAAGCTGTGCATTAGCTGGGAGTCCGAGAAAGCGCTGCAGAACGCCCGGAGTTACCCTGGGCGTAAAGGGTGGAAGAAGACTCCTACCTGGTACTGAGGAAGTCAACCCACATGTCTTAGGCTATTTTGAAATATTTTAAATACGGAAATATGCATATTGAGAAAGCTTTTTTCCAGTGATAGGGTAAGTCTGGAAGGGCTCACAGGAGGGTTTAGGAGACTGTAGCTTGCTGTTATTTGGCCATACTCGCTGGCGCTTTCCAACGGTTCACCCACTGAGCTCAGCACTTTTGGCGTCTGCTTCTTTCTACATGGAAACGCTAGCTGGGGACGCTTAGTGCCCCCCTGTTCTCGGTGAAATCTGGGAGACCAGCCAGGACAGTGGGCGGGCAAGGGCGGATTCTCTGGAAGCCCAGGCCCTGCTACAAGACTGGAACGACAGTGGGAAAGAAAACAGCCGGATGGTTTGTCCTTTTCATTCCGACTTTCTTCAAGCGGGTGGTGAAGACACCTTGTACTTCTGCGCGGGTTAAAGGGAAGTTTTCTTTCTCTTGCGGTTCCAGGCAGCCAAGTCTGCTAAAGAGAGCAGCTGGCATCTTGCGCCCCCAGGCGGCGTTCTGGCTAAGGAGCGCTGCAAAAGCTTGCGCTTCCCGGCTTCTGAGAAGCTTCTCAGAAATCCCAACGTGTCTCGTAATCGTGGGGGCAGGTGGCTTCATGACCCGTTTATTTGCCACGGTTTTCTTTCTTTTTTTTTCTTGGTGTATAAAATGACTATGTGCTTTGATTGGATAAAATATAATAATTTTTAAGTGATTGAGACTTACTGGTCTTTTTAAAGTATTAAATATTTTTTAAAATGTTTGAGTTGCAGGTCCTCAGGAAATGTTAGAAATTAGACTTATCTATCTGAGGTCACCGTGTGTTGGTGCTTCAGTGATATATACACCGAAGGCCCTTGTTCACCACAGTGCAATTTATCAGTGCAACAAAATTGCACTTGTACCACCAAATATATACAAACAAAAAATAAATAGAAAAGACTTAATGACATCTTAGAATCCCCCCTCCCTAATTTACAACACTAGTAATTTGTACACACACTAAGCCGGAGAAAATGGGGGCAGATCTGATGCTTCAGCCCCTTCTCCTAGATGAAGGCTACCATGGGTAGTCCTGACTTGGGGGTGGGCAGGGGACATTTTCAGTGCCTGCTGAGCTAGCCCAGATCAGAAGGGATGATTGGCAACCCCTTGGGGCTATTCTACTTTGCTCACATTGTTAAAATATTCAATTTCACTGCCTTTTTGACACATGATATGGCCTCACATGGCTTTGTTAAGTCAGTTCCGGCACAAAAGCCCCCATGTCAATCAGGCAAGAGCCATTTTATCTGGAAGCAAAGTTAGTCTTCCATCAGACAGGCTATCACCTTGAATTTCATACAAATGCCAAAGTTGCTAAGTCTGGGAGGCTCCTGTCAGGGAGAGGGCAATGCCTCTCTGGAAGACATTTGACAGTAAGGAATGCCCCACCCACTGCTTTGTTGGCCCAGGCCCCCCCTCCAAACTGCTTGCAGCAAGGGACTTGGCTGACTTTGTGCCTCAAGACACATATGCCTACAAATACAATGTAACCCCAAACTTCCTGTACTGTATCCCTAAAACATCACTTGATCTTTAATAATGTTAGTTACAGTGACTTTCTTAAAGAGAAACCTTCAGAGATGCTCTATTTTAAAACTTTTTGTAAGTGTTTATAGAATAGTTTAACTGGTCTTTTTAGCACGTTCTCTGAGACGTACTTCTCCTTTTCATGGCTTGACTGGGACATTGGTAGGGGTATGTGCTTCATTTGGATGAGGAAGGAAGTAGCCTATAAGTAAGCAATAAGCTTTATGACATATTCCTTGTTGGAATTTCTCAAGTTATTTGCATTTAAAGAGTGCACAGACACTGTCATCAAATAGCAGGTTCATGCCTCTTCATATCTCCTGAGCCATGTGCCAGAATCCACCATGACCCAACCTGAGGCTGCAGGATGCAAAAAGGTGACACACAGGCCCACGTTCACTGCAGACGGGGTTTCTTTGGCCTATAAAATGTCTTAGGAAAAGTCAAATTCATTACTACCTTTTAAAATCAGCAACATTCACATAAAGATCTAGAGCTCCAGCTTCTATTGGAAAATGGGAAGATTTGGCCAACATATGCCTATAGTTTCCTGCTGTGGTAACCATCACCAGGAGCTGGGGGCACTGGACACCTCACACTGCTCTCCCGTTCACCACAGTCCACACCAAACCAGCTGACAACCCCTCACTGCTTTGCCCGTTTACATTACCTGCTCATTTGCGATCTTTGAAAATAACCTGAAGTTTGAACCATAGAATAAACCACCAGGCTCCTAAAGATGAGGTCAAGAGGTTAAGCACCATTTGCTTCCCAGATTGTGCAGGACAGTCTGTCCTGTGTCAGCACGGGGCTCTGTGCTGGGTCAGTCTGGGTCAGCCCCTTTCCAAATGGTCCCATGTTGCTCTCACTACCCCTCCCATCCCCCGATTTGTCCAGCCCTGTCTCAAGGCAGGACAAGTCTCCTTGGGGTCTTGTGTTTCAAGAAGAATGAGTGTTGGTATTGGGTTTTTTCCCAAAATGCACATGGATGATGAGTGGGCATCAAAGACTTAGAGACGATACTGCAGTAACTCAAAAAAGAAAAGAAATCTTGATGTAAGACATATGTGTATTAGTTAAACCCAGCAAGGGCATCATCATGTACCCATCACCAGGACCACCACACCCTCCTCCTCCCCCAGGACAAAAAGTGGACCTGTAGGTGGGGAGGCTTCCTGTGACAGCTGAGATAGGGAACAGGATGCTAATAAAGGGCCCATCCCCATAGCAAAAGCCAGACATCTCTGGTCAGTCCTCCTCGTGGAGACTTTGTAGGACAGCAGTTTTCAACCTGTGGGTCACCACCTCTTTGTAGCAATGAAAATACGTTGCGTCATTAGGAAGGTTGAGAACCACTGTTCTAGAAGAAGCAGTTATTCTTTGGTGACCATCACATAGCATGAGAAGGAGTAAAGTTATCCCTGGAAAAGCTCGACAGTAATGGGAGGGAACAGATTTGTTCATACATTTGGTCTCTTCTCTGTCAACAGTAGGAGAGGATTCGTGGCACCTGTCACAGTCCTAGATAGTGGCAGGCAGTAGTCGTCACTATAGCTGAAAACCCCTGAGAAGTGTCAGGTGCGCCATTTTCCCAGCCTGACCATGTGTCCAAGTCTTCTGAGCCTTGGTTTCCCCATTTCTGAAATGAAGACACTCCCCTGTGCCCCTCACGAACCTCATGGGGGGTTTCTGAAGGTTACTCCTGGTCTCCATTTGCCCCACAGAAGCCTTTAGTTTGGTGAGCAGTGTCCTAAACCACTTACAAATTCAGGTCTAACCTGTCTGTGTCACACGATGCAGTCCTAAATGTCAAATCAGGCTTTCTGGGATGGTATCCCCTGCCTGGGCCCTGCAGGCATTTGAGTTTGGGGTAAACTTTCTTTTTCTTGTCCTGAGGGTCTGTGGCTACCTTTCTGAAAATGTTAACATATAAGTACAACATATATCACAGAGTAATAAAATCACAAAACTTCCAAACTAAAGCCTTCCCTTATGTTCTGAAAGATAAATTAAATGAGTGTATTTATAACCCCTCGAAAGCAGTTAACTACTTGCTAACTTTGACCTGGGGCAAAAACATTACTGTGTGATTTAAATCATGAGGTTAAA